ATTTTCTTTTAATACTATTTTAATCCAAAAATTAAAAAAACTTATTATCAAACACCACCTTTATATACCCTCCAACCCGCCCAAAAGACAAATGGAGATTGTGACCCCATCGCCCATAAATCCGAACCAAGGTCAGATTCCATCCTAATCTGCTACACTAATGTTTGGTTTGTTTTGGTAAAAAAATATGTTTTATGATTTAAAAAAAAAATGTTTTTATATTTTTTTTTATGTGCAGTTAAGTTCTTAAAATTAACATTATAATAGTTGTATTAGTTGTGGTGGGTAGCGGAGGTAGAGGTGGAGGTGGCGGTAGTGGCGGTTACGATGATGGTGTGGTCATGGAGGTAATGTTAGCAATAATGATGTGGTGATATTAATATGACTTTAATTTAAAAATATTTCTTGTCTATATAATTTTATTTTTATTAACCACAAAAAATAATTTCATTTTCAGTTGTATAAGTAACTAAAAAATGCGAAAAGCAGTTTTATTTAGTTGAAGTAACAAAAACACTCACTTTACCTAACCAATTTTTTATGTCTATTTCAACAATTTTCTTCATTTTTGCCAGTATTTAAATTTTTTTTTTTTTTTAAAGTTTGCATTGCCTAATGAGAGGAAAAATAGGAAGAGAGAGAGAGAGAGAATATATTTTTTTTTTTAATGTTAGCTGGCCATTGAAATGTAGCCAGCAATATTGAGGAGATGCAAAATATAAACATATTAATTGAGTATGATAATGGTAAACTGCCAAGTTTGGCCAAACATATCAGCTGCCTACTTGGTTGTGTTTAACATAATATATACATATAATATACCATTAGATATATCTAAATGATTCTTTATTTTGGATTTTGAACATTGTTTAATGGATTCGGAGGAGAAACAAAAACAACTAATGCTTTTCTCTCCAGGCAAATTATATATATGCAATTATTGTCTTATTATACTTGTTAAAGTCTCTGTACACACACAAAAAAAAAAAAAAAGGAAAATGACCGATCAGGGCATATTTTAAAAATAAATTACAAATTAATGAATAACTTTATCAATATTAATAAAGAAAATTTTAAATTTTTTCATGTATTTGTAATATTTTTTTATATTCCCACTAGATGCTAATACCCCCTGAACTTTTAATGTTATTTTTAAAGGAGGTAAATCTATGGACTGAATAGCCTACGTGAATCATAATAGACCTTACTGTAATGATTTGATCAATTTACTTTACAAGTCTTATGTATATATTATTCATAAAAAAAAAAATCATATTAATTTATTAATAATAGCCGTTATTTTGTTTTAGTTTTCTTAAGAAAAATGGAGTTAATATATTGTTCATTTAAAAAGAAACAAATTATGTGGAAAAATTGTGGTTAAAAATTTCGGATCCATTAGTTTTTTTTATATTTTTTATTTTTATAAACAATCTATACCTAGGGGCTTATAAAATGAACAAATGGGCCAAACAATCAGTCTCATTATCTAGTGGAGCCCACTTTATGTGACAACATGACATTTATAATAAGAGTAATATTAGAGACTCCAAAAATTCTACCAAAAATTTTACCAAATGTCACACCTATGCGAGACATTTGGTAAAACTTTTGGTAGAATTTTTGGGGCCTCTAGTATTTTTGTTAAGTAATGTTAGAGACCCCAAATATTCTACCAAAAGTTTTACTAAATGTCTCACATGGGTGTGGGACCCACACAATGTGGGTCCCATGTGGGTCCTACACCCATGCGAGCCATTTGGTAGAATTTTTGGGGCCTCTAGCATTTTTGTTATAATAAGAGTAATGTTAGAAACCCCAAATATTCTACCAAAAGTTTTACCAAATGTCTCACATAGGTGTGGGACCCACACAATGTAAGTCCCATGTGGGTCCCACACCCATACGAGACATTTGATAAAACTTTTGGTAGAATTTTTGGTGTCTCTAGCATTTTTGTTATAGAGTAATGTTAGAGACCCCAAATATTCTATCAAAGGTTTTACCAATTGTCTCACATGGGTGTGGGACCCACACAATGTGGGTCCCATGTGGGTCCTACACCTATGCGAGCCATTTGGTAGAATTTTTGGGGCCTCTAGCATTTTTGTTATAATAAGAGTAATGTTAGAGACCCTAAATATTCTACCAAAAGTTTTACCAAATGTCTCACATGGGTGTGGGACCCACACAATGTGAGTCCCATGTGGGTCCCACACCCATACGAGACATTTGGTAAAACTTTTAGTAGAATTTTTGGTGTCTCTAGCATTTTTGTTATAGAGTAATGTTAGAGACCCCAAATATTCTATCAAAGGTTTTACCAAATATCTCACATGTGGGTCCCACGTGAGACTTATTAAATTAAAAAAGAATTACATGTAGGTGGAAAAAAAGAAAAAAAATTATCAATACATGAGATGCAAGTATGCCTTTGATAGAGTGTAAATGAAAAACTATAGAATGCAAATACTAAAATTCCTATGTGTTAGTTATTTTTTTTCTCTTCTCGCACTTGCATATAATTCCCATTAAATTAACATAATGTTGACCCGTAAAGGGGTAGATATAACATGGTAAAAAAATTATCCTGACATTTTTGTTCAGGATACCACTAATTTTGGATTATTTGTACAGAATTTGTAGAGGAGAGAGCCCAAAAAACAAAAAAAAAATAATTTTCAATTATTTTATTTTATTTTTATAATTCACAAATCAAAAATTTAAACGCAATTTAAAATTGTCTTGGCGAGCATGCACATAATCTTTTGATTTTCTCTTCCTTTGCATGATTTCATTGTAAAAGGATTCTAAATAAGACAAAAACTTTGTATAGATATCAAAATTTAATTTCTAAACTTCAAGTTCTTATAATCACTTTCACCACTGAAAAAACATACCACTTTGTGAGGTAGTAAAATAAAAAATAAAAAATCAAAGCCTCACTTACAACGGTGGTTATTTAATTCAGTAGAAACCTTAACAATGGATATTATATGTTCCTTGGAATAATCAAAGTTAAATAATAGTTCCACTTTAGGCTTAAAAGTGGTGGTCTCACACTAATTGAAGGCTAAATGGATTCTTAAAAAATGTAACCTAATTAACCATTAAAATCCTCTGTGTGTCCATAATTTTGCCACGTGTATGGTCAATGAATTCTAAACCCATTTAGGGTAAATTAAATAGTTTTAACTTCCCTATTAGGCTTATTATATTATTAAGCTGCTTAATATATATTTTACAAACCACTTTGGTAGAATTCAATTTTACTCCAAATTGAGTTGGTGCCTTCGAAATAAATTTATGAATAGTTTAAGCTCGGTTTATATGTAAAATGAACAATCTCGAGTCAAAATTAAACTCATTTAGCAAGCTCGGCTCAGATTGGGTTGGTTGGTGAATATAAGGATATATAAATTAATATTTATTTTTAATACTATATTATATATTTTTTCATTAATTTATTTTATTTGTTCATTTATATTTTGTTATTATACAAATTTGCATATTTAATTGATGAAATTTATTAATAACATTAGCATTATTTTATATTTTATTCATAATCTTCTTCTTTTCTTTTCTTAATGTGCCTATTAATTTGGGTTTAATTTATTGTCAAGTTCAAACTCGAGAACTTGGCTCATTTATGTAATTTAAGTTGGTTCCAGTTGAGCTTCAAAAAATTTAGTCTTTACACTTTAAATTTAGTTTCAATTTGATTATTTTGTACAATTTATTATTATTATTTTAATGTATACATACTTTAGAAGGCTACCAATTGTCCTAAACTCATTAATTTTAATGTTTAACTTGTATGGAATAATCAAATTAAAATTAGATTTAAAGTGCAAATTGTTTAATTTGAAACAATAGGGACCAAAAAAAAAATTTAGTTAAACTCCCAAAGTTAAAAGTGTAATTCATCCAAATAAAAAAAAAAATTAAAAAAAAAAAAGGTTTAATTGGCCATTCCCAAATCAGTGGGGGGGCAAAAACAAATTCAAGTTTAAATTCTCTCCACCAAAAGAGCACCCAAAAAAAAAAAATTTGTGGCTTTGAGTAATAACCTCTCTTTCCTCAGTCTTTGGGACCTAAATAATAGGGAATTAGATACTGATTGTCCGTCTCTGAATTGGCAATGATTTGCGATTATAATCATGGAAGCCTATACAGGTTCTCTGCAGCACCATCTTTGGAACATTATTCCAAAGCCACACATTGAATTCTTTTTGACTGATAATAGTTGATATGCTCTCAATCGCTATTATACAATTTGTAGGGCAGTGACAGAGAGGTTCAAAATTAGAGTTTCAATATGAATTTTAGTAATGTGATAAAAAAAATATATTATATCATCATGTGGGCTCTACCATTAGAACTCTAAGGCCATGTTTGTTTGGTTTCATAGGCGGGAGATTGGACTACCAATCCTGTGGGCCTTACATAGCTCATGTTTGGTTGACAAAAATAGAAGGAGATTAGTAGTCTTATGGGACTATGAATACTCTCACATAAGGGAATTAGTTTGGTTGGATTTTGGATGAGATTAGCAAAATAGTGAAGGGATTGAGTTTATTTTATATAAAAATTTTATTTTTTTTGCTAAGTGTACCTGTTTGTTTTAATTTTTTTAATATAGAAATAATTTATTTATTTATTTATTTTATATAAAAATAATTTAACAATTCTATTACTAATCATCTCTCACACTATCATCAAAATAAATACATTTTTGTTTAATCTTCTCACTAACAATCTTTACATTAACAATCTCTTCATTAATAATTCTTTCATTAACAATCTCGTCCAACCTAATTCGCCAAATAACCGTGGCTTATTAGAGCTCTAGTGAATATTAATGTAGGAACCTTATTCTCCTAATAAGGGGTGGATGAGAGGAACACGCATGTGAGTTTATTTTATTTTATTATTTATTCAAAGGTTCTCCTTCAAAGTGAAAGATATTAGAATATTATTTTTAGTTGAACTGTCCCGTACTATATAAATGCATGAGGCTGATCAAAGGAGGGACATAGTCACTTCTGTACCCATCACCACTTATAGAGTGGGGTTTTTTACTTCTATTTTATTTCATTTGGAAGAAGGGAGAGAGAGTCTTGAAGAAATTTGAAGACAAGAGGTTGAAATGAAGGTAAGAAAACTCTAAAATCATTCTTCTTCTTCTTCATCTTCTCATTTTTGTTGTTATTATTATTATGTGTTCATTTATAAGCATGTCTAATAATGTGTACTTATTGATCAAAGATGTATTTGTGTGATACCATTCATATAAAATGCCATGGATAGTGGCGGTTTTTTTTGTTCCAGTTTTTTTGTGTTTGGTGGAGCTTCCTATAGAAGGACTTTTCAGTCTTCATGAATGCCTCTTGTGAAGTCCTTTAACAAGTTAGAAGTACTTTTCATCCAAAATCAATAATTTGTATTTAGGACTCGTTTGGGAATAAGCTAATTTAGTAACTTTTTGGCTATTTGGCCAAAAAGATAGGTAAAAAAAACTTGTACGTTTGGGATGACTTTTTGGCTAATTACGAAAATATGTGCAAAAAGTAGAGAGAAAAGAGAATCTTTGACTTTTTGATATGAGTTGTTTGCTTTTTGGTTAATTTAATAACTTTTTGGTTAATTGACTAAAAAAGTAAGTCCCAAATGTCCTTTCTATGTTTGGTATTTGTTCACACTTTTATATTCTCACTTCGTGTCACTCGGGCTGTTTATTTGGTTTAAGGATATGGAAAGACAAAGGAAACTTTTCTATGTTTGGTATTTGTTCACACTTTTATATTCTCACTTCGTGTCACTCGGGCTGTTTATTTGGTTTAAGGATATGGAAAGACAAAGAAAAAATATAAATGAAATGTGAATAAAATATATATATATATATATATATATATTTTACTAAATTTTACATATTTTTTCTTTTTTCATTACTAAATTCATTTTCAAATTTATCAACCGAACACAGTTTTAACAACAATAGATATTGTAAGTGGAAAACAATACATTAATAACAAAAATTTTATACAAAATTAATATTTTTCTAATTAAAAGGCATTTTAATGAGTTTTTTTTTTTAAAAAAAAAATACGTAACATAATCAATTATGAGTCAGCTAAATTATTTTATATAAATTATATAAATATATATTTATTTGTAAAGCATTAGTGAAACAGAGAAAGAAAAAAGAACAAGTATTCTTTCATAGAAAAGAAATAGAATCTAATTTTATATGACCACTTATCCCACCATATGCTTGACAGCCTCTTATCTTCCTAACCAACCACATCCCTAGCAATTATGGGGCTCATTTTTCTTCTTCTTAATTCTTGTTCTTTTTTGTAATTAAATCAGATTCTCCTCATTAAATCAGATTCTCCTCCACTGCTAATAAATTTTCTTTTTGTCACTTTCTTAACTAACTTCAATTACGTATTAGTGAAAAAGCAGAGGTGTGGAGTTCTAAAAGTTAATTTAAAATGGATACTCAAAAATTAAAAATTGATACTGTTTGGTTGAGTTTTCACAATCTGTCTTTTTAAATAAATTTTTTAAAAAATTTGGTGAAAATTGAATATTAATCATTATTTTCATATTTTTATTTATTTTTATGGTGGAAATAATTTTAAAAAATTCAGAAATAAATTTTTTAGTGTTTACTTTTGTCAAACTAATTTCTAACATTAAAAAAAAAAAAAAAAAACTAAGATAACAAATTCTGAAAAATCAGCGACACAACCTTTTCAATAACAACAATGATATATCCCTCTAAAACTAAAGTTTTAATTGAACTTTAGTGACGTGAAAAGCTACAAAAAAAAAAAAGACCAAAATATCACATCAGATGGGCCCCACATACATATTAGAACTATTAGAGCTCACAAATTAGTACTTCAAAACATTTTTGTTTCACTAATAAGCCTTTTCAACTCATTTAAACTATTTTTTACACCAAAAATTCTGAGAAAATTTTAAATTAAAAATTCATAAGGAGCTCCAATAAATTGCGACAGATTGTTAATTGAGACTTTTTATTTTTATTTTTATTTTACTCTTTTAGAACCTAGAAAACATTTATATTAAAATCAACAACATACATAACAAGACCTTAGAGAGAATGTTAATGTGTTTTGGAGCAGTATTGTTACGACCACAAATATGGATTACAGAATACAACACTAAATACACATTAATGGACAAAACAAGTTTGTTTGTGAAGTCATTTAAAAAATAAAAATAAAAGAGTATTGCTATTTAGCTCAAAAAATTAGATATATTTTTTAGATCCAATGATATGTCACTCTATTAAAATATCTAAGTCAAATTTCTGTCTCATTTATTCTCTAATTATTAATTAGTCATCTTGTTGACACATCACTGGATTTAGAAAGTAGACTTATATAATATTTTTCTAAAAAAAATTATGTGTTTATATGTATTTTGGGTCTATTTCAATAATAAGTTTGTATATAATTCAAGTCAAAAAATTAGATTCACTTTCATGACACGGTGATGTGTTAAGAAGATATTAATTAATAATTAACTAATCATCTTCTTAACCAATCAGTAAATCTAGAAAGTGACTATAAAAAGCAAACTTATCTATCAAATTTTTTTTTTTTTTGAGCATGTTCAAAAAAATCATTAGAGTTATGCCAGGACCTCAAATAAATTATCAATTTTTTTATTAAATTCCTCACATATGTGTGAGACCCACACATATATAGGTCCCACACATATGTGAGGAGTTTAGTAAAAAATTTGATAATTTATTTGGATTTATAGTAGTTTTTAAATCATTAAAGGCATACCCATACCCTGTTGCTGGGTGGGTGGGTGGGTGTGTAATTGCAATGGTAGTGCTCACTCACACGTGCCGTTCCTTGGGTCATTACACACGTCTGGCAGTTACTCTTCTCCCGCTATATATACATATCTAACCCCCTCCCTCATATAGTATCCCTCTCAATTCTCTCTCTCTCTCTCTCTCTCTCTCTCTGTTAGTATCTTCAAAGAGCTAAAATCTCTGTATCAACACACACTCTCTTCTTTGTCAATAACTCTCACATGTATGTTTGTGCACAGAGAGTTTTGAGATCATTCAACAAGAAACTTAATTAGCTCTTTTTATCTAAACACAGAGAAAAGCTTATTCTATTCTGTGTTTGTCTCTTTTTTCAAAAACAAAGATGGGTGAGAACAACACTGCTACCAAGAACCAGAATCATCTTACCCACCATGCTATGGACATCTCTGCCGGCGGCTCTAAATGCTTCGATGACGATGGCCGCCTCAAACGGACAGGTAAAAATCCTCCCCTTAAAAATATTTACTCACCAAAAAAAAAAAAAATTACCGTTAGCATTCTGTTGTCACTATACAAAATCCCATCTTTCAGAAGAAAGAAAATAATTCTTAAGCTAGGTTTGGTTCTGGTTTTTTTGGCTAAAAAAACACAAACGATAAAATTAGTTATATAAGTCAATAAGATAAAATGTCACATCCAAATCATAATCATTACACTTTTTATCAAACAAAAGTCAAAAAAATCAAAAACAAAAACCAAATGAGACTAAAAAAATCAAACTAAAATAATTAAAAAATAAAAAAGTCAAGCTATTCTAACTATTCTCAAACGAAGACTTACAGAATTTTTAGACATAAATGTGACTGTTAGCATTTATACAAAATTATTTAGTAGTGACATTTTGAAAATATAACAGTACCTTAAAATGAAAGGCATCTTACACAGTTTAACCTTGTGAATTTGTTTAGGGACTGTTTGGACAGCAAGTGCTCACATAATAACAGCTGTGATTGGGTCTGGAGTGTTGTCCTTGGCTTGGGCCACTGCTCAGTTAGGATGGGTTGCTGGTCCAACCGTGATGTTCTTGTTCTCCTTTGTCACTTACTACACTTCCACTCTCCTCGCCGCCTGTTACCGCTCCGGTGACCCCGACACCGGCAAGCGACACTACACCTACATGGACGCTGTCCAAGGCAACCTTGGTAAATGTCTTCACATTTTTTTAACCCCTATACAAATTGACTAAATGGGTTTTTTTTTTCAAAACATCGTGAAATTTTTTCTCAGGTGGCTTTCAAGTCAAGGTATGCGGTCTGATTCAGTACCTCAATCTTCTCGGAGTTGCCATTGGGTACACCATTGCATCTTCCATAAGCATGATGTGAGTTTATTAGTTTTTGGAATTAGAAATATATTTATGATTTTTTTTTTATACAAATTTTGAGCTGATGGGATGGTTTTGTGTTGTTGTGAAACAGGGCAATCAAGAGGTCTAATTGCTTCCATGCAAGTGGTGGAAAAAATCCATGCAAGATATCAAGCACTCCATATATGATCATTTTTGGTATTGCTGAAATCATTTTCTCTCAAATTCCGGATTTCGATCAGATTTCTTGGCTTTCAATTGTTGCCGCGGTCATGTCCTTTACCTACTCTACCATTGGTCTCGGTCTTGGAATCGGCAAAGTTGCAGGTACCAACAACATAATTTAACGACCGTGAATATTTTTTAAAATATGAGAAAGAGAAATTTGAAATAGAGAATTTCGTGCCAATACTTTGTATTTTTGTTGAAGATAACATGATCTCTTTGATTGCTTGATGATTCAGAGAATAGGAAATTTAAGGGAAGTCTCACCGGAATAAGCATCGGCACGGTGACTGAGACTCAAAAAATTTGGAGGAGCTTCCAAGCACTTGGAGACATAGCTTTTGCCTATTCTTACTCTCTCATCCTCATTGAAATCCAGGTATATTCTTTTTCCTAAATTTATCAAATACTTTTTTTTTTCTTTTTTTAGAAAGGCATACATCTGACCAACAAGCCTCAACTCGATCTGGCGTAATCAAAATCTAATCTAAATCCAGTCTATTTGGATATCCGAGTTGAAAATTCAACCCGACCCAACCCAATTTATGATAATACTCTATTTTTAAAACTAAAAATTTCACTTTTTAAATTTTTGGTTGTTAGCCATTAGATAAATGAAAAATTGAATCAAACCTATAATCAGTTGGATTCAGACACTCCAATTGAATTGGATAAATGGCATTACCAGATTCAAAATTTTTGATTAAATCTGATCACTTGACAGGCCTAACGGAATTGTACTCTGTTTTTGCAACTCTAATTTAGACCTAATCATATGGTTTTTGTGTACATAACAGGACACAGTCAAGTCTCCACCATCAGAAACCAAAACAATGAAAAAAGCCTCTCTGATAAGTGTCACAATTACCACCATATTCTACATGCTCTGTGGCTGCTTCGGCTATGCCGCTTTCGGTGACCTATCCCCCGGAAACCTCCTCACTGGCTTCGGTTTCTACAATCCCTACTGGCTCCTCGACATTGCCAACGCTGCCATTGTCATCCACCTCGTCGGCGCATACCAAGTCTACAGCCAACCCCTCTTCGCCTTCATTGAAAAAACTGCTTCCGAATGGTACCCAGAAAGCGAATTCATTACCAAGGAAATTCAAATCCCAATCCCGGGTTTCAAGCCCTACAGGCTCAACCTCTTCCGCCTCATCTGGCGAACGATTTTCGTGATGATAACAACTGTTATCTCGATGCTCATGCCCTTCTTTAATGATGTTGTTGGAATTCTTGGAGCTTTCGGGTTTTGGCCTCTCACCGTTTACTTTCCTGTCGAAATGTACATCGCGCAGAAAAAATTACCCAAGTGGAGTACCAGGTGGCTTTGCCTACAAATTTTGAGTGTTGCTTGCCTCATTATTTCTGTTGCGGCTGCAGCTGGATCGTTTGCCGGGGTTTTCCTTGATCTCAAGTCTTACAAGCCTTTTAAGACTAGTTATTGACAGGACTCTGTTTGTTTCGGTAAAAAATATTTTCTAGTATAATTTGGTTATGGATAGAAAATATTCCTAAAACAAGGGGAGAGCTGAAGATATAGGATTTCAATTCTTGTTCTTGTTCATAAGAAGGGTAAAGGGGTTGTCACAGTTCCTACTCTTTAGTTTCTTGTTGGTTTTTACTCCTAAAAAGGGGGGGTCCATGAATGCAAGTATCAATGTAGAGTTAAAGTATGAGTCTCTAATTGTAATCCCAATTATGTGACTTTCTGTGTTTATCAATGGAGATGAGAAAATTCTAAACACAAGGCTTGTAGCACATTTTTGTTTTCTGTTTTCTGTTTTATAGAATTTAAAAACTACAAACAAAAATGCCATTAGTGGGTGTATTTGGTAATGTTTTTATATATATATATATATATATATAATAACAAAAAATTTGAGGTTACACATATTTTGAAAACAATTTTTTGTTTCATTCTCTCTACCGCCCCCTTCTGGCTGCCCACCTCTAACAATCCTCCCCACATGTTAGCTAGCCACCGCTTTCAATAATAATAATATTAGGAATCATGAAAAAAATATCATGAAATATTTTATAAATAATTTTTATCTTCTCATTAGTGTGTAGTGTTTTCTTATATGTATAATCTATTGGTAGAGAATCTTTTATAATTATTTTCATAATATTTTTTTCATGATACCTAACATTACTCCTTTCCATAATCCCCTTACTCACCTCACCTTACATTTTTAGCCACCCCACCCTCCAATGGCCAACTCTTCACTCGTCGACCACTACCTTTGACTATAGATCTTTTGACTTCAGCCGCTACCCTCCCCCCTTCCTTGTCACCATCTCCGATAACCTCCACCTCACTGGCCGACCATCTACCTTTTCGGTACCTTTTTCAATAATTGGCTAAACATGTTTATTAGTTTTGGCTTTTGTAAGAATAAACACAATTTTATATTTTTTGTAAACAAAAATTGAGACATAATTGATTTCATTTGGGAAAAAATGGCACCAGTTTTAAAATTTTTTAAAATTTCAAAAAATACGAGTGGTTTCATTTATGTAAAGAAAGTTAAAAAAACAAAATTTTATTTCCCATTCTCTCCCTCACCACCTCCAACTATCCTTTCCAACAACTCATCAAATATGTTTTCTGTTTTTGTTTTGAAACACTAGTATGAAACATATATTATATGTATATATATATATTTATTATTATTATTATTTTTGAAAGAATATACAATTGACTAAACTCCACCTAATCTTTAGCAACTAAACTAATAGACACTATCATATGGCCCCCAGATCAGCCATGCTAGCAGTAGCTTGTGTTTGGCTATGACCACATCCCTAATGTAGGGGTGTAAATTTGGTCAGACCCGACCAAACCTACCTTTGGGCCTTTTAGGTTCTCGCCAAAAATTAGACCGGGTTGGTCTATTTGTGCAAAACTTGACGTAGACCCAAACCCATGCCCTAGGGAAATTCGGGTCGGGATGGTTTGACAATTATTTTATTTTATCAAAATAGCTTAAAATAACGTTGGGTGCGAGCAGGTCGGACCTCAGAGTGGGCCTGAATTAGGCCAGCAGGGACCGACCTCCACTGTGGCCAATCAGACCGAGCTGGGCCAGAAAAAGCATGGCCTAGGCCCTAACCCGAAGGGGTCGAGCTAGGTCGGGCCTCAGGCGAGCGAACCATTTCTACACCCCTATCCATGCTGGTTGAAACCTAGAGAGAGGAATCTCATTAAAGAGGTGACGATTTTGCCAACAATAAATAACAATTAATTGAGTTGGTTAAAAATTTTGATTTATTTAATTATTTATTTTGTGTTTAATAAACTTTTATTGAAATTAAAAAAAAAAAACAGATCCTTCTAGATTAGATGGACTGAAAAAGATAATATTTTTTGAAAAAAAATTAAAAAATAAATTCACTATTATTTATTATTATTTTGTAAGAATAAATTACAAATAAACCTATTGAGGTGTTTGCTTAAAATATAAATTGTCTCATGTGATTTGAAATATTACAAATATCCCCTTGTTAAAAAATTTTATTTAACAAAATTAGCAGAAAAAATAAAAAAAAATTAATTATTCTCTTACACAATAAAAAAATTATCTATGTGTGAGTGATTTTCCGATCACACTGCCCAACTTAGTATTCAGCTGAAGAACACTGGCAGAATAGATGACACCTGGCTGACTTGAAATAGAAAGAGAAGATTCCGGCGGTGGTTCGTCCAAACCGGGGACACTCCGACGATCAAGTCAGTATATCTCTCAAAGATAATCAATAGTGCAAATCTCACTGTTCAGAATATGAAATTGCGTACCTTAGACCCACGAGGGTGCCTCTCTTTTATAGCTAACTCAATCCTTGTCCCAACAGGAGCCTAGCTCTAATGGACTTAGGATTACTATTAATCTTGGACTCCCAGTAGGATTGGGATAAGCTCCCTATGAGTCTTATCCTTTCCCAACTATAATCTTCCCCATTTCTAGGACTCTTGTGCCTTATCCGCTTATCTCGGATTCCAATATCTTCGGAGGTAACCTCGGCCTCGCTGAGATAACCTCAGCGTCATGACCAGGACACGTGGCACCTCGGCTGACACGTCGGCGTCACCTTAGCCGCGTGTTGGTACTCAGAAAATATATCCCCACAACTCTATTACCTCGGCATTCTGAGGTGATGGAACCTATATCATTCCTTCCTGCCAATACATCGGCCTAGCCGAGATCATCATCATAGGCCGATATGTCTTTTTCAGAGATCAAGAATTCCAAGAGCTTCTTCACGCGTATGAGCTGTTATGCATAACAACTCAACCATTTAGCCACGTGTTTTCTCCTTACTGGATCATACTCTGGACACGCTTATAAGTCGTTTCGCGTCTATATGCGCCGTCTGACGCATTCGCTGTTCCAGGCGCATTAATTGCCCTCTTTTGCCACCGTTTCAAGTTTTTGACAAAACTTATTTCCCCCTTTCGTTTTTTTTTACTTTACATTGTCTTTATTCAAAACTCTTTCTCTCTCTAGCTTTCTCTAATCCTCCATTTTTCCAAGCTCTGAAGCTCTGCCATCGCTACCGTTCACCTTTTCCGGCGTGGTTCTTGCCAATCTGTTCTATCGCCGCTGTTCTTCTGACTTCGACGATCTCAAGCATCGGCTTCTTTTCTCTGGTAAGTCACCATTCCTCCTCCTGATTTTTAGTTCTTGTTGTGTTCCATGAAATTCTGTTTTATCATTTAGTTGCCATTGTTGTTTTACTCGAATATTTGATTTGCGAATCATGTATCTGAACATGTTTATTTCATAATTTTGCTCTTTGTCCATGTCTTGAACACTCGTACTGTTCACATGCCTGTTGCTTTCTGCCACTGTTCTTGGCCTGATACACTTGTGCAATCTTTTTTTCTTGATTTCTTGATATTTTCATCACTATTCTTGTTTCTAAAACGGATCCCTGTTTTTCTGTTTTCCAGATTCGTTCCTTCAATCTTTATGTCCATAGCTTTAGGTTTGGGACTTGTTTGTAGAACTCACAATTTCTAGGAAAAACTGAAACGAATTCCTTCTAGATCCATACAAACCCTTATTATAGCATATTTGTAGATTTTTAGCCGAGGTCCTTTAAGCCCTCCAAAAATACTTCTTCCTGAAATCCAATATCTCCATTTTAAGCCGACGTCATGGGTATGTGGGAATATAGGGTAAACACCCCGAAAAAATTAGGTTACTTTAGGCAGGAGTTCGAAATCCCGGCCGACGTTCATCTGAGGTTAGCTGGGGAGGATAACTCTATCATGCCCGATGAAAACCTCATGCCTTTCCCAGTTTTTGCATTTATTGAGTGTGGACTTAGGTTTCCACTTGACCCTTTCTTCTGTCAAATCCTTCATTTCTATAAGTTGAACCCAATGCAACTTACCATCCACTCTTACCGAGTTATTAACGGTACCATGACTTTAGCCAAACAAGAGAGTGCTAGGATAACTCTTGCCGATTTCCAGTACTGTTATACCATGTGTCTCCTGAAATCGGAAAAATGTCACATTTATTACCTTAAGCCGAGGTCCACTGAATACAAAATTGTTGCCGACCTCCCTGACTCCAACAAGGGAGTGGGTAATGATTACTTCATCGCTTCGGGTAATTGGGAGTTTCAGCCAAACGATGACCTCCATCTTTATCCCTTAAGTCGAACAGTTTTCGGGGAAGGAGCTGGTAAGGGCCATCCTTTACAAGTTTTCTGGCTTTCTTGCATAAAGTTTTCAACATTCTTGCTCTAATGTCTATGCTTCTTTCTGTTTTGCAGTTCTCCCTCAGCCACCAAAGGGCTTTCGTCAGTCTTTCTTCCCCAGCAAAGACTTGAAGAAACTACTAAATTTGCCAGTTTACAAGCGGAAGGCCCCTTTGTTTCTCAACTTTATCCCCACTTACAAGTCAGCTCTCCCTGACGTCCCAAAAAAGAAGAAGAAAAGCCTTTCTCCACCATCTACCACAACTCCACAAGCCGCGTCCACATCTCGGATAGACCAAGGGTCAACCTCTGATCCAGCTGAGCAACCTTCAACCTCGGCTCCATACCTGATTCCATCATCTCAACGAAAACGTCGTCGACGACTTGTTCTTGCTACTGAGATGGGCCGCCAAAAACCGGCTGCTAAAGATCTCTTAGCCAGCATTCTTTCTGACATTGACGCTCAGCCAACACGAACCCAGCCTCTTTCAAAGCCAAAACGAATAAAAAAGGCTCAGCCAAAGGCAAAGGTGCCTCAAATCGATTCTAAGGATACCTTGCCAATTTCCAAACTGGCTCCGAGTGAGAAAACTGCCTCTGTCCCTGCGAAGAGGTCTGCTGAAACACTTCTATCTGAATCTACCAAATCCAAAAGGCCGATGTCATCTTCTGTAACGACCTCGGGGTCTAAAAATCCTGATGCCCCCTGGGCCCCCGCAATCACTCTAGAAGATAAGTCTGTCATGGCCAACGATAACGCTGAGGACATCAACAGTGGTGTAGCCCTCAGTACTGCTCTGCTTCTCCCCGGTGATCTTGATCGAAACGCCGAGTTGAGCGAGTATGAAAATTACGCTCTGATGCTTCAACGTTCCGTTCAAGTAAGTATCTTTATCTGGCAACTTCTTCTTTTGTTTTGTTCTTTCCATACTTGTGATTTTTTCTAACAACTTTTGTTCTGTTTACTTTCAGGCCATCCAGCACGCCCATTCTTTCTCAGTTCAATCTTTTGAGAACCGTGAGAAGCTAGCCGAAAAG